TCGGCGTATGTTTAAAATGTTAGTGTGTACTATACGGGGAGATGTGTGTAAGGTCGATATACCGGGTAAAGGAATAGGAGGAGCTCAAGATAACATGGTGAAGCGAGTACGAGATGGTATGGTCCTTGAGTTGGAAGCATTGGGGGACGCCGATATTGGAGGTCGCTACCTAGAAAGAGTAGATTGATCGCCGATAGTGGTGATGGTCGGGAGACTCTGACGGGCAAGGGGTTGGGTCGCCGATGTTGGTGACAGGAGAGGTTAGTATCTGTGTGCGTGTGTGTGGCCTATTAGGGACCGAGAGGTAGAAAATTGAGTGTTGGTCGCCGATATTGGTGACGAGTGAGAACATTTGTACTCATGGGGTGACTTCGGAAGGCGGTTACATTTGATATGCAATATAACTAACTTACCGGGACAAGTTGATTCGATGTAGTCCCAGGGTGGTATTAAAGTAGGACTTAGGTTGTATAGATAGGGTGCATATGGGAATACTGGGTTTCCTGTTGTTGCATGTTGTAACGGCCCCGAAATTTTAAAGGAAAATGTATATATATAAGAAAAATTCTAAGTGTGGAAGCGAAATAAAATTTTTGATTAATATCCCTTACACAATAATTCAAACGTACTAAACGTAAGAAAAAATAAACTAAATAAAGTAAATACTAGATATGAATGTTATAAATAAAACTATGAAATCTTTAAACATCTACTCGCCGTCTTCCTGCGGGACAGGCTCGGGAATCAAGTTTTCCTGATATGAAATGGTTAAGTAAGGAATGAGCTACACTAACCCAGTAAAGACATCACACTATCTTACTGTCACAGAACTAAAGGTTAGTAGAAAATAAAAACGACCAGTTGAGCATAATTTATAACAAACTCATTTATCAATAATAAAAACTTTTACTGTCCACTTATCTCGGTGAAATTCATGAAAACAACTTATAAGAAACAATAACATCATAAATATCATAAGATCATGCACACTCTGTAACATAATACATATAATACTTTTGTATTTCAATCATCAGGTAACAAATTTCCTCTTTTATCAGCCTACTAGTATCCATGGGGATCCATAGGGGGTCCCCGCTACACGTGAACCATTCACATTAATAACTTAATTCCAGGATCGTCCCCATACCCCGTCCAATATGGGTACCAAAACCATAAATGTAACAGCCCCGGAAATAAAAAGGAAATGTATATATTTATTATAAGTACGGAAGTGAAATAAAATAGATTATGATTAACATCCCTTACACAATAAGCAAAACAAATTAACGTATGAAAGAATAAACTACCTTAAAGAAAATATTATGAATGAATGCTATAAGGAAAGTTAATAAATTCTTTGGCTTCTACTCGCCGTCTTCCTGCAGAACGGGCTCAAGAACCAAGTCCTCCTGATCTGAAATGGTTAAGTAAGGAATGAGCTACACTAGCCCAGTAAAAACATCATACTATCTCACTGTCACAGAAGTAAAGGTGGGTAGAAAACAAAACGACCAATGGAGCATAATTTATAATAAACTCATTTATCAATAATAAAAATCTTTACTATCCACTTAACTAAGTGAGATTCATGAAAACAACTTATGAGAAATAATAATATCATAAATATCATAAGATCATGCACACTCTGTAACATAACACATATCATACTTTTGTATTTCAATCATCAGACAATAAATTTCCTCTTTTATCAGCCTACTAGTATCCATGGGGATCCATAAGGGGTCCCTGCTACACGTGAACTATTCAGATTAATAACTTAATACCAGGGCCGTCCCCATACCCCGTCCGGTATGGGCGCCAAAACTATAAACCTCAATACTCCGTCCGGTATGAGGGTGAAGCGGGCCGTCCTCATACTCCATTCGGTATGAGCGCCAAAACACATAAAGTCTCCATACCCCGTCCGATATGAGAGACCACGTTCTCGGTAGGGTTCTCTATGGACCCGGTCCGTCCACCATCTCCCAAGATATCTAGTCAGGCTGTCGAAATTATTCATTTATCAATTCACATACATTTTTCCATTCTTTTCTTAATCAAAATTATCTAATCAAACATAAATATATAAACCAGTAATGGACACCAAACAAGGCAACACAACATTAGGTTCACAATAATTCAAACCATAATAAATGAAACTGTGATTCATGCATACAAAACCATAGAATAAACACATCAGACATCATACTGCATTTAAAATTGTAAAATAAATCAAACAACATCTAATCAAAAAATACATCAAATTCGGGCTCTATTAGCAACTTTAATTAATTATACATATCTATTAATTCATAAATACTGTTTTATCATTTATTAAGCTTTAATGCCGTAATAGGAAATAGGATGAGAGATCCTTACTTGTTTCAGAGTCTGAAATCGAGTTCTCACTCCGCCTACGAGCAGTCCCTAGATTCCCTGAATTTTTTCTCGGAAACTGAAACACACTTTCGGTACCTACACATGTCCCCAAAAAATTCCAAATCAGACCCAGGGCCCTTTCGGCCAATTCTGGAATTCCAACATGGCGGCTCTACCGTGCTCCGGCGACGGCGCAGCCGCCTGCTGTGGCGATCCACCTCAGGTTGGCCGTTTTCGGCTGAATTCGGCCAAACTTGCATTGATTCCTGTGATAAAACACCCCTAGGGCCCTCGGTGGGCCAAGAAATTACAGAAAATCGAGACTTACCGGCGGCGGGGCTCTCGGGTGCGGCGGCTCCTCCGGCGCGAGTTGCAGTTTGGTGTTTTGCTCCGGTCAACCTGTAGAGAAAAGGAAGTGGTCACGGTGGTATAAAAATTACATCGAATGGAAATCGAGAAGGGCCTCATCAGAGGCAAAAATTGAGGAAACCCGCGGCAGCGCCGCTGGGCTTCAGCGGTGTTTTTCGGCCAATTGGCCGGTGGTTTGGCTCTAATTTGACCACAGGGAGGTTCAGCATCGAAAAACGAGCCAAGAGGAGAAATTTTACCTTGTTTGGCGGCCGAAAAATCCTCTGGTGTGGCGGCAGGTGGTGGCGGCCGGTTCCTCCGATGGCTGGGTCGTCTTCTCCGACAAGGGTTCTGGCGGCTAGGGTTTGGAGTTGGGTGTGGATGCGATTATTTATAACCCTCTCCTTTTAATCTGAGCCGTCCATCATGATTTAATATCGGCCGTCCAATCGCGATTAAATTGGAAATAAATTTGGGCCGTTTATCGCGATGTGATCTGAGCCGTCCGTGCGTGATCGAATCTGGACCGTCCGCACGCGTAAG